TGACACAAAGCACAAGCTGACCTGGATGAATTGTTTTATTTAAGCTCAGCCATATCAATTCAAAGTTACCATTCCTTGGAGATGATATTTTTACTAAAGTCCATTTTGAAAATACTCTCTAGCAGCTGTAAATTATCTGTGGTCTCCCTCTCCCATTCTGCCTAACTTTATAATGTAATGCTAGATTTTAATTTCTTACTTATATTTTTAACTTCACCTCTATGCATATTATAGAAATACTTCAGCTCACTTGATGTAGATAAATTTGTATTAAAAAAAGCCTAATCTGTGCTATAGATTTGAGAAACACAAATTTATGAAATACTGCTTGCCGTTTTCTGATACGCTTTTACTCCTATTCAGGACAGACATGTGCTGCTCAAGCCCTCCAAAAGTTGCTTGAGCTACAGCTTCTCCTCAGAAAATGCTATTTCTCTTACAGGTCTTCGTGTGTGGCGCACTAATCCCGGCTCAGTCTTTGACTACGACCCAGCAGAAGACAATATTCAGTCCAGAAGCTTACATATGATCTCTGGTTTGTTCCATAGGCTGTACTGTTTGTGCAAAATAGGTTTTATACTTGTGCAAATCCAATCAGTAAAACTGACGGCTTGGGGATGCTAAAGCGCAGCTTGGCACTCTACCTATCCAAGAACGCAAGTGTGGCCTTACGCGACGACTTCAGACACTGCGTTAAAAATAAAAGGGATACAACAACAGTGCCTTTTTGAGTAGAACTTCAGCATGGTGTCCGTAGACTGCTTTTAAAAAGCCCTGGCAAATACCGTTGAGTAACCATAAAAACAGACTGTGATTAATTCACATGCTTTTTTTTCCATTAATTTTGTAAAATACAGTAACCAATTCTGCTTAGCATGCATGTGGCCTATGTCTGTTTTCTACTCCCTGTAAGCACAATTGCTACAGGTTTGGTAACAATGGTAGAGAGCTTGGGGTAGTTTTACAGAATATGTATGCACACACATAGGTATATATATGTGTGTGTGTGTGTATATATATATGTATATATATGTATATACACATACTTTTGTGCGCATCTCCTTACAAAACAAAGACATGAATTGGTTCCCACTGCTTTCTCCTTGCAGTCCAAGCCCAGCGCCGCAGCCGGGAGCACTCCCGCTCTGCCAGTGCCTTGAGCCTCAGTGGTGGCGATGAAAAATCTGAGCCCTCGGATGGTGTGGATCAACATTTGTCCTACTACAGCAGCGGGGGCTTCTTCACCACAACTGCAACAGGTATGAGGAGAACAAAAGTGCCGTTTATTGACATATGAGGACAAATGGTATCCAGACCATCTGGCAGGGCAGTACTGGTCATGGGCTCGTGTTCAGTAATTCCTTTAGCCCGGAAAAAGCACAGAAGTACACCTGCAAAATGCTGAGTTACCAAATGAAAAGTTGTATTTCAGTAGGTAAAAGGCAGATTTGACCCAACTAATGACCTACCCCCTGATCTTTATTCAGAGCAACTCCCACCCTATTGCCCATTCTGTAATACACAATACAAAATACATTTTCCTTTTGCAGTGGGCTACAAACATGCTAAAACCATAGAGTTACCCCAACAACGGTCATCGTCAGTTGCTACCCAGCAAACAACGGTGTCATCAGTTCCTTCTCACCCATCCACCGCTGGTGTAAGTAACATTGATCACTTGTGTTAAGACACACAATCCCAATCTTGCTGCAGGAGTTAATTTTGACTACCTACCAAAGGTGCACAGCCCGGGAGGTCCCCAACAGCTGATGGTGCATGCTCCATCATGCTTCAGACGTGCCTAGAGTCAGTAACATGCCTACCCTCTGGGCTGAAGCTTGGTACAAAAGCAGGTGAAGGTGTAACAGATTCACTGAAGTGGGATAGACCCTTACCTGTTGTTGAAAATTTTAAATTCACTTCTTCCTACTCCTGAAATTGAGTCTTAGAGTAGATACATGACAATGGGTATGGCACCTGCAAGATCTGCTGGGAGGTGACACCTTAAAGTTACAGCTGGAGCTACCTAGAGCTGGTAGTGCTCAAATACACTCTGAAAACATTTTGTTTGGCTTCAGTGTCACTAAAACACACAGGCACTAACCTAAGGTACTGTGGCAATAACTAAGGTACTTTGTTATTGAAAAGAAACATTTTGTGATCTGAAACCAGCTAGATACTGCCATCAGTAATAATTTTAGAGTACTGAAATGAGTCAAAACATAACTTGCCCTTAGCCTGCTCTTACATTTTGATTCTCACCAACAGCTATGGCTGTCAGTGGTGACACCAGGGGTGTAAATGTGTCTCTTGTTTTTGCCCCCAATCCTCCCCCCTCCTTAAAATTAACAGAAGACCTACCGGGCCATGTATGACTACATGGCAGCCGATGCTGATGAGGTTTCCTTCAAAGACGGTGACACAATTGTAAACGTACAAGCAATTGATGAAGGCTGGATGTATGGGACTGTCCAGAGAACTGGCAAGACCGGCATGCTGCCAGCCAACTACGTAGAAGCTGTCTAAACCAAAGCGCGTCTTTCCATAAAGCGTGTCTGCATGGCACAGACATGCCGGCACTTCTCAAAATGTAAGCCTTAGAAAAAGATTTGTAATGCTTTTTCCAAAGTGCCTTATTGTCTTCCATGTTGATAGTGCCTTATGAACCATGATGTTAAAAAAAAAAAAAGAAAAAAAAAGAAAAAAGTAACTGCAGAGCAAAATACTTGTGAAACATCTTTTCAAAACATGAAACATGCCCATGAGAACTGTATTTCTTCCAATGTCAAAAAAAAGGTTTTTTTTAAACATTGCCTGGACTTTGAAACATTTCAACATCATGTACCATCACGATGTTTAACTATGCTAGAACTGCAATCCAGTTCAGTATCTCTGAAATTCTATACATGTACTTAAGACTAAGACTACCACGTATTACTTTATTCATTCTCCCATAAAGAGAGTATTTTTCTGGGCTATTTTAAAATGCTTGAATGTATTTTCTTTTCCATATAAGCAACATTTAAGCTTAGCATCTCAAAAAAAAAAAACAACAAACCAACCCAAAACCAAAAGCCTCTCCTGCTTGCTGAGCTCTTACGCATGTGTTTTTCATGCAACTGTTCTGGGTCAAAAGCTGTTATTACTTGTAAATTAGTGACTAAATAAAGCTAATGTTTCTGCAGTATGTTTGATGTATTTACTCGTGCTGAAGAGCAAGAACCAATCTCACAACAAACTGGCTTTGCTCAGAAAACTGTGTTGAAGGTGATGAAGGATACAACAGCCACAGCAGAAGTCAAACTGAGAGGCTGTGAATGAACTGGACAACTTACTTCATACCTGAACACAGTGGTTATTTGCTTCATCTGCTGACGCATCTGGTACCAGCCAGTCTCCAAGAAAGAAGGAAATTTTAAAAAAAAAAAAAAAAAAAAAAAAATCCATGTATACTGTGTCCAAGATAGACTAAAGATGAAAAACAAGAGTAGAAGGGGTTGCAACATTAACTTTGTTCAAAGGGACAGCACAGCACATCATGGTGTACAGAACCGAGCTGAAAGGGAAATGTCCTTCCTCAACGCAGGATTCAGGATTGCCAGCACTGAAGGGTGTTAGTTAAACAAAGATGTTAACACCCTTTCGAGATGCATTAGGAACATCCTTATCTGTACAGGTCACTGGATACAAGACATGAATAAACGTAAAGAGGCAGATTTGGCACCAAAATAACATTTTCAAGAAAGCAAGAAAACCTACGGACAACTCATCACTGGCACTGTTCACATTATAGCTCTTTGTCTGTTTTCTTCATGAGATGCATGAACAGGGCAAAGAATATTTGGAGTCTTGCTGACAAGATACTGCCATGTCCCCGAGGACCTGCTCCTACCTTACGGCAGCAGTGACGACCTTCCCAACCTTGTGAATCCAAAGCAATGCTAAGGGAGGGCTGAACAGATCTGAAGGGGAAAACAAAACAAGACAAACAAAGCCCAAAACCACCAAACCACAATGACATTAACAAGTTTGGGAACTATTTGCTGTTTTATTTGCCCATGTGTAAGTTCTAAAACCACCTGCAGCAATTCCTTTCAATAAATGTCCATTTTGACAGCTACAGTACAATATATACAAATTAGATTTCCAGAGTAAAACCCAAGAACTCTCTCTGAAGGTCTCTGAGAAGCAGCAATGCATTCCATGCAATTAAAACTCAAAATCATAAATTATTAACCAACATTTGCCATCATAAGTCTGTACATAATATACAAAGAGCTCTTGTCAAATCCATTCATTTCCCCAAGGAAAAAGTCTTCTCCACAGAAGGAGAACTGCTGCAAACAAAGAACATGGGAAAAAGCCTGAGAAGTTTTGCGGAGTTTTTCACCTATAAGGATACATTGCATATCAGCTTCTTAGTGTGATTCTTACAAAAATACATGCAAAAATAGATGTCATCCAGTTGTCAAATAGCAGGTTCCTGGACTGTTGCTGCTGTAAGGAATTAAGCACAGCGTATCTCCATATAAAATGGTACTGAAAGGAGAAATACCGTCTGTCAGAGTTTCAGCAACTTAAAAGGAAACGAACAGGCAGCAGATGAGCAGAGCTGTGAGATCGCTCTCTTGCCAAATAGTAAGAGTTTGCAGCAGTAAGAACACTTTGGATTTGAAAAAATAACTTAACTACTTTGTTGGTTTGGTTTCACAGTCTTTGCTATTGCACAACTTCATCAAGTTTTCTTTCACTACCTGAAAGAAATATGCATAGCAATACAATACAAATACCTCTAATAGGGAATAAGCAATCCCACAAATTAAAACAAACAAAAAACCCCAAGAAAAAACCCCACCATGATACATTTTGCTCATATAGGTGTTAAAAAAATCTTCTATAGTACAAAATGCACAGTTTAAGGAATAATTCACCAGTAAGAAAAGCAGGTTTTTGGGAAAATTGTTGTAACAAAGTCCTCCTTACTTAGAAATGGTAAGCAACTAATCAGAACTTTCATGGGGTGGCGATTTCCAGCGGGACTGCAGGTTTTTCATGATACAGTTTGTCATGCCAACAAGCTTCTCTTGCATCTCAAAAAGTTGGCTTCCTGAATAGCCGTGAAGATCTTCAGAGGTCAGCTGAGCAGCAAGTGCATCAATTTGGCTCAGAAGATCTGCTGTGGGCTGGTCATTTGTACTCAAGACAACTGGTTCAATCAAATCTGAAAAGGAAGGAAAGTAGGGCAGTGCAGTCTGTGTGTCTGGCTTTAAACGTAAGCAGAGTTATGTTGCAGCAGAATGTTACAGCTGCTTTTGTACAAAATAACATATTCAAGCAGTCTACAAAGTATTTGTTCCACACAATACCAGAGCTTCTGACAAAGGCACCCCTCAGAACTCCATGCTACCCTTCTCTGTGGTGACTTTCATTATATTTGATCATGATTGTAAAAAGGACAGAAATGAAAGTATTCTATTGTATTCAGATACTGCCAATGTCATTCCAGATGTGTTATCCCAAAGTCCAACTTTTAAACTGGACAGCTGAGAAGTTACTCCCGAGTTCTTTGTTCTCCAGTTAACCAAATGCTTCAAGTATCTCATAAGAAGAACAAACATGGATTCCTCTGAGCTATCAGGCCAAACTCCCAAAACACACAGGAGAATTCAAATACAAATCTAGGCACCTAAATCCAAAACGGGTATCCAGGGAATCATCCCCCTCCTGTCCCACCCCCCTCAGGATGAGGCACCGCTTAGCTATCTCCCCCTCATCTTGCTGGTTTCTATGCCTGCCCAGAACCACAGCAGTTACTACGGAATTGAACAGTTCAGGAGACATACCCCGTTGAGATTCAGAAAGTTAAGTACTGAGAGCCCTGCCTCATTTGTTCTTCGCATGCTTATGCAAGCTCGTTTAGGAAAACCAGCATCTTTCCCTCACAATATGTAACAAGTTTTAAAAAGCCATTGCTACAGGGCTTCATAAAGTGGCTAACTCAAACACCCATCCCATGTGCTAATATTAGCTATTAACACTCTCAAAAAAAAGGAAAAAAAGACCAAGTGTTCCCACTAGGAGAGAATGAAAGCAGCAATAAGCAGAAACATCCAAATCCCAAGCAAAAAGCTGGCAATAGGTACCTGTTGCAAGTTTTTCTTCGTCTACAGAAAGAGATTTATCCTCTACATTATTTACAGGCTTTTCTGCATCTTCAAGCACTACTATTTCCTCAAATCCTCGAGATTTTACCTAAGGATTTTTTGGGAGAGAACAAGAGATGCATTTTCAGAGGGGGGGAAAAAGAAAAGATTACATGGTGGGACATGTTTTAAACTCATAATAAATACAATCGTTATTCCCATTAATAATATTATAACTAAGTCATCATCTGTACCTTGAATTCCCATATTACTTTGACAGGTAGAGATTACGTTTTAAAGTGCTATTTCTAATGGGGGGGAAAACCATTATTCCTCCATGAGGCATGTTAGCAGTTCCTTAGGCTAATATTAGCTTTTTTGGGTACTAAAATTAAAACTTTACCTGTTGCTCATGATATCCTTTAAGAGCTTTTTTAACATTGGAAACTTTTGGAGAGCGGATGGGAAGAGTTTTGATTTCTGATGCCGTCAAAGTACTCAGATCACCCACTGTCTTAATGTTCTTTGCTCGAATGAGCTGCCCCAAGCCTCTGGCGCTGAAGCAGGGGAGAAAGAAAAATGGTTTATTGTGCTAGAATTCACGTCGTTTCTGCCTGGCATGGTGGAGCAGAAAGAAATCTTATATGAATGCCAATTCACATGCACACAGCGAAGGAAAACCAAAATGCAAATGGCATTCTTCCATCTGCAGAAGCACACCTTTTCGCAGTTTATCCTCTATCCACCAGAGAACGGCATTCTAAAGCCCACTCCTATGTAGTATGAGTGGAAGGAAAAGGAGCCGAATACACTAGAAAAGGCCATTCTCAGCAGTTCCTACTGCATGCCTATAGTTTGTCGTGACAAGTTATCAAAACTCAGATTGGAAACCAAACCAGCTGAGCACCTAGCCCTTGTACATTTGAAATGTAGATTTTTAAATTTTTTTTACATTCCACTTTGCCTTCAATACACAGAAAGCTCCAACTGCTTTGTCACAGATCATTAAGATCAGTCTGCTCTGCTGTGTGAAAAGGCGAAAGCTCTCTGTGTTCCTGGGTGCAAGCTTTTCATAGTCTTACAAAAAAGATTACTTGAATAATTCCAAAATAGTTCTCACCCACTAAACCAACCTTCCTCCTTGTAAAAATATTTGGCAAAAGATGTCTCTAAGTCATCGCATTTTGCTTCGGGAAATTTGGTCTCGTAGGTTCAGTAAGAATTCAGTTTCTATTAAAGTGTAATCTTCAAAAGCAACAATCCACTTACCATATGTTTGATGTAATCTGAGGTAAAATTACATCAACTGGTGCTTTGCAGCCAACTAAGGCAGGATACACACATTCTGTAGGGCAAGGCAGCGATTCCTTAGCCATTTCCGTAATCTTGAATAATACAGAAAAATTATTAAATTAACTATCACACAACTGAGTACAGGAAAAAATAGAAGAGATACATGAACCAAAGCACTTCTTACTAAACACTTCTTTGAGCTCTTAAATTTAGGGTTACGAGATCCTGGGGACAGAAATCCTTTGGTTGGAGTGGTAATATGCTGGATAGAAAAAGAGGAAAAAAATCTCTCAGGATCGTAGGAATTCAGTTCATCGTAAGATTCTAGCTACCTACATCTCAGAGCGCATTTTTCTTCAGAGAGTAATAGAATGAGTCAGGCTAAACCAGTTACAACTGTTTCTTACACTTACTGACTCTGCTCTTACAATTGTTTGCAAGCGACTATGAACATACACTAAAGCAGTGTTACCTATGATAAATGAGACACACGAGTACTTACGACACACAGAATGTAAGTAACAATTTACCTTAGCCTGAATATTAGATAAAATTTTAAGACTTCGGGAAGATGGTGAAGAAGAGTGGGATCTAATAACAGGACTTCTCCTATCTATGTCATCTGCCAGTCCTTCTTGATAAATTGGATTTGCAAAAGAGACTCGACGAATCTGTTTTTAGAGAGAAGTAGTTTTTATAGTATGAACTCAAACCACCACACGCCAGTAAGTCTGAGGAGACAAAATAGCTCAGTTTGAAATAAAGTCATTAAAGTTCTTAAATGACATGGATGATGTTTCACCCAAGGACAGAAACTGTGGCTCCCTTATTACTAAAGGAAACATTAATGCACTTTGTAAAAAGCTGCTCAAAATCCAGGGGTAAGACCCTGACTATGGATACAGTGGTTCTGCAATAACGTTTGCTACACTGCAACCTAGGTAGCAGATTAGACTTTGGTGCTCTGTTTCAAAAATAAGACTCCCCACCCCGAGCCCCCATAATGCAAGCCCGCCAGTGCGTGTACACTACCAAAACAAGTCTGTAAGTCTTCAGTGTAAGATCACTTACAATGAAAAAACCAGTCAATAATTCAACGTATTTGGAACTCATGACACTACAGACACTGTTACATATCCCAGTTATGAACTAAATGACTTGTGAGTATCACAGAATGAATTGCATCACAATACCTTATTAGCAGGTGACAGGGAATCATCATCTTGATTTCTTTTCACACCTCTCTTTAAAATACTAGTGGATGGAGAAGCTGAAGGAGACCACATGCAGCGTGCCTGCATACCATTAGGGCTTTCGTTAACTAACACTAAAGATTCGTGATCTTCCGCCTTTTGAGGTGAATCTATGCTGTTATTTTCTACTGCATCTTTGTCTAAGGCCACGTTTTCAGGCACTGTAATTTCAGTTTCCACTAATTCCTCCTTCATCTCTTCATCTTGAATAATCCAAGTGTCTCCTACAGTATTCTTGGCTGCTTCTTTATCATCCCGATTGCTTTCTAGTTCATTCATCTGTTTCTTCTCAGGTTTGCTAACAACAATCAGTGCCTCGGGTATCTCCTCCAGTTGTCCATCCTGACTTACTTCTTCCTTTTCTGTAGCCTCAGGTATCTCCTCCAGTTGTCCATTCTGACTTATGTCTTCCTCTTCTGTAGCTGCTGGTTCTTCGCTTTGATTCCCTGCGGCCAGACAGCTGTCACCAGGCTCATCCAAAACACACTCAGAGAGATGCTGTTCAGGTCGGTCACTCTGATCAGCAGGTTCTTTTATTTCCACTATGGAGTCATTAATTTCACCTGCTATACACTCTGGATTATCTAGATCCTCCTCCACTACAACACTGTTTCCCTGCAGATTATCTTCAGGTGTTCTCTCTCTGTCTAAGTTAAATGCACTGGATTCCTTAGGAGGATGCAGTGGAGTGCTCATTGCACAAGGTGCCATGGACAAGCTCTCATCAAAATTTGAATTACCAGACATCTCTGATGTATTTACAGATGTCCGAACTGGGGTGGTTTGGGGCTTGTTCCGTTCAGGAGCGTTCTCGTTTTTTGATTCAGTGAATGACATTACTTGCTGCTTTGGCTTTTTACAACAGCAATCACAGTTCCTTAGTTTTTTCAGCCTTTTGTTTCTTTTGTGCTGACACTCAGGTATTTGCAAAGAGGAAAGATCACCACCTGAAGCATTTGCTCCTGGTACATATTCAGGGAGAACAGCTGAACAAGTGTGTTCTATGTTTGTTTGCTTCTCAACGTGTTTATTTTCCTCTGCTGCTTTCAATTCTTGATCAGATACACATGGGTTGGTGAATGATTCCTTCAATGTATTGCCCTTGTTTTGTTCCACATTTGCGTCCTGTGTATCAGGTGAATTCTTTGAGCTGGCAGGTCCCACAGCTTTGCTAGCATCTGTAGGAATTACTTGGTTTTCCAGGTCACACGGTTCAGATGTCAACGCAGTATCTGTGCTGACTTCACAGCTTAGTTCACCTTGATTTGTTTCCAACAGATTCTTAGCTTCGTTTCCTTGGGAAGACACCTCATGGCTATGGCTTCCTGGCTGTAGATCTTTCAATTTACCTTCAAGAGAATCACTTCTATTTTTCAGTTTTGCAGATCTTTTCTTCCTTGTGCTTTCTTCCTTGGTCTCAGAGCCATCAGCATCTGAATTTTCTATGCTGGAAAGCAATCCTTGTGAAGCTCTTCTTGTGTGGTATCGTGGGCGTTCAATCTTCTTCTGACCTGCTGTACTGGAGCTACAGTCTTCACCTTCTGTGTCAGTCTTCAACTTATCTTCTGACCTCCTAGCACTTTTGTTCACTTCCTCATCAAGACCCCTTGAAGCCGGAGACTCCTTTGAGCTTAAGTCCTCTGCAACAGTTCTCTCAGGTAGGTTGCTTTCTTTTTTATTCATATTTTCTGTAGTTTTCCCACAAACTGCTTTCTGCTTTTGGGATACATCATCCTTAGTCTGCGGCACCTTCTTTTGCCCAGATTTTTCATCTTCTTTACGTCTGTCTCTCTTTTGGTGGCCATCTTCCTTATCTTGACTGCCTGCTGTACTTTCTACAGTTTCTGACCGTCGTCTTGAAGAACGTCTTAGTATTTTCTGATTAGGAGACACATGTGGAACCTGACTATCATCGCCTGTTACCTGGTCAGATGACATGGTCGTCTCTGGGGGTGTATTTTCTTTAGAATCCGTATCTAATGCCTGGATCTTTTCTATTTCTGCTATCGTATCTTCAACTTTTTTAATTTCTACTTCTGTAGAATAGAGAGCTTGGGACTGAGCAAGGAGAATACGTTCCATGTCTTCTACTGCAGAAGATAGCTCAGGACTATATTCCATGCTGTTGGAAGCAAAAGACTCTTGTGCGCTTTTCTCTTGTTCTGACCTAATTATCAACTTGGACTGCTTATTTCCTTGGTGCTCCATCTTACTCTGCCTGCGAGTTAGCCTTCGTATTGCCGTAAATATTTGTTCAGACTCAGATTTTGAAGGCTTTTTATTTTCTTCTCCAGATTTCTCTGGTTTAGCACCAGTCTTGCATACATTTGTATTTTCCTGTTTACCTGCCACAGAAGCACTTCCAGACATCTCTGATAAACTGTTTAATGCTGAAAGGCTAAAGGGTCTGTTCTCTGAACTATCGAATTTCTCCAAAGTAATAAAAGACTGCCGTCGGCTTGCAGGCTGTGGTGTTCCAGAAATGATGTCACTTGAAGTTGAACTGTTGCTGACATTTGAAGTGTTTTCATTCCCTATTAAGGGCTCCTTTGAAGCTGTTTCCACAGTACTTTTTTCTAATCCCTCTCTAACTGACGGCTCCTCCAGAATCATTTCAGCCGTATCCCTTTTTGACTCTCCCTCACTGTTTAAAGTTGAGCTCTCCTCTATGTGACTAACAGATGACTTTTTCACACAGTCACCATTCTCAAGGGGATTATCTGACTTGCAGTCCTCTGTGATTTCATCTGATTTGTTGGTGCATCCTTCACTCTTTGCATTTTCTTCCTGTCCCAAAAATACAAACAGCAAAGTATTGTAGTTTTGCCATGAATATAATACCAAAAAACAGCTCTAGTGGAATAGAAAACACCACACCCACAAGGTTTTTCAAACCCCCCTTCCTTCAAATTATTTTATTATCTGTCCTTCAGTAGTTATGAAAGACAAAAGTTGTTTTTTTTTTAAAGCCATTTAATCTCAAAACAGGAAGAACTGCAAAAACGTTTTTTTTAAGTTTTGCAAGAAATATTAACAAACCTACTGCTAAAACAGTTTTCATGAAAAGTCTGCTGTGTTTTATCTACTGTCTGTTCGGCACTACAGTTGATTAAGCTAGCTGTTTAGCCAACTCCTCTCCAGAGGCAAGTAGATCTATATTTAGGATTTACAATTTTTTTTTCCCCAAAAAAATCTACTATTTAATCCCCCTCAAGCCCTTACAGCTTCATCCAAAAGCAGTTCAGAACGTGGAAACATAGCTAAGCTGTTTAAAAGCATGGTCCACTAGAATAACAGAAATTAACATTTAAAAAAATGTCACTTTCACTTTTAAAAGTGAAAATAGTTTCAGAAAAGCATGATGCATACCAAATGCATCTGCTAGGGAAAAAAATGTGTTATGGAAGAGAAGTCAACAGTGTTACGATTCCTAACATAAAGCTAGGCAGTTAAACAATTCTTAGAACAGCACCATAGCAAGTCACCGTAAGTCTGTGCTACCATTTTCAGTTATTTTTACCCCAATAAAATATTAGTCAGTGGTAGCAGATACACATGACTGATCATAAGTTCTTACAATACCTGGAGCTGTGTAACAAAAAACTTAAATACATCCACACTAGAACTAATTATATAAATCCTCCCATTTTGAAATTAAGTCAAAATGCTTATCCATTGGCCCTTTCTAGTGTAAATGATATAAAGCAGAACACAGCACAAAGAACACCGCAATGGTATTAAATTCAAATCTGGTGATGAGAATGAAATACAAACCACAAAAGCTATCCGTGTATTCTATAGTCATGGAGCCCGTGTCAGTAGAAGACATTCTCAAGAGTCTTCCAGGTTAATCAATACAGAGAAAGGAATTATTCCTGTGAGCCAATACATTTGGGGGTACATTTTTTTTGCTTGAAGAATTTCCAAATCAAGCTTAAAACCATATCATAACTAGTAATCAAAGAGTTTTGCCATTAGTTACCAGAGCTACTAATATGAAGAAAACATCACCGGTATGGTTATAATGCTGATATCTTAATTACCATTAGACAATGAGAAATTACCTGAGGCTTGTTTTTAGTATCTTCTTTTGCATTTTCTAGTAAAGATGATTTTTCCCTAAAATAGAAGTTACTTAAATTAGAAGTGTAGCAGAAAAGGGGGATACCTTTGATGTATATACTGGCCACCTTTACTTACAAAGGCTCTTCCTGGCTTTGAGTGTACTGAGAAAACAAGGTAGTATCTTGCGATGTGTCCAAATTGTTGTACATAGCAGGAATACCAACTCTGAAACAAACCCAGAAATGGTAAGTCAGACTCTTTTTTTTTTAAAAAATAAAAGAAGGATAGGGTAGTGTAATGCATTAATCGCAAGCAAGCAGATACTTGTATGAACTGGACTGAACTTCCAAACTCTCAAGACTACTCAAACTGCGACATGCATCCCAAGTAGGAACCACTGCACAAAAGGCAGGACAGCGTATATTCAGTATCAGGAGACTGTGTGGCCACACACTCCGCTCCCTGTTCTGGGCAGAGAAGACACGCTATTGCAACCGGCGGCTACAACCTCATCCTCCAACTGGCACAGCAAACTGCAAAGCGGATGCAGACCATGATTTATCTCCTTATTTCAAGGCCACTATTTTCAGTTACATTAAGTCTTTTTTAATTTCAAACATGCTTTTGGGGAAAAAAAGCTGTGATTGGGATCCCACTCCACAAAGAATTCATCAACACGTGCTAACTATATAATCCAACTGAGTTGCTGTCAAGCACCACTCTACACAAATTTTGCTTGCACTGCGTTTTTGCTGCCTGAGTACAGAAAATACTCTAGTATTATCTTCTCATATTAAAAAGAGGCTAATTCTAAAGATTCCCTTGCAATTAAGATGAGTCTTGGGAATATCCTACTTTCTGATATGCTGCTGACAAGACTTCTCTTCAAATTTAGAAGATTTTCTTAGAATTCTTTCCTTCAGATCAGTTAAAAAACCCTTTCATTTCAATGATTTAAGAAAAATGACACCTTCCATTTCATATTGCAAGCGAGAGTCAGGAAGTAGAAAATGTAAACTCCAAATTACCAAACTCCAAACAGGTAACAGAGAGTGTATTTAACCAAAATAGGAAGTACAGATCAGAGAATAATTTGGTTGCTTTAAAATAGTAAAGCAAGGAACTTTGTTAGCTTTAAACTTTATAACTTGTACGGAAGAGGAAGACTTAATTACCTATAGTAGTCTGAGATACAGGAATTGAAGTCTGTCAATCTGACATACTCAATGTAATGACATTTCACATAAAGTTCAAAACAGAGTAAGTTACAGACCTCTTTGACCTAAGCACTTCTTTTTGATGTTCCGTCAGTATTCTTGCTTTTGTTTCTGGAGGAATAAAAACAAAATCAACAGATTTCTCCTCTTCCAAAAGTACCTCACTTTTAGTCTTCAAAGACGAAAATTCTAGTTTCAACTGCAGAAAGGAAAAAAAAAACTGGATTAAAAGCAAACTAGAGGAATTGTTCATAGTTCAAGTACAGCCATCCTAAATGGAACAGTTCTCAAATAACCGCAGTTCTTTCAGCATATTAATTGGCACAACTCCCTCAGTAGGTGCCGATACACCTATCTGTAAAAACCTTACCTTTGCAGATGGTACTTGCGCGTTACTGGACTTGTCTTTTACTTCGTTTTTTAGTTCACTCGTCTGTGCCAATATAGAGTGTTGTTTTTGACCCAACTTTACTTCCATTCCACTTATCTTTGCATCCAGCTGTGAATTTTCCATCTAGTCAAATAAAAATACACTGAATGCATTGTATGAAGAAAGTCCAAGCTCACAGGCCCATCCTGAGAGGTATTAATTTCTACAACTAAACTGTCCCACATTCCCATTTTCCTCTAAATTACGTAGAGGACAACTTAAAAAATTAGTTATTTCAAACAAGCTAGTAGAACCCAAAATTTAAAATGCATAAACTGCTAAGAACCAGCTCAGTCTTTTGACAGTGCTTACCCAGCATAGTTTATCATTCCAATCATGAAGCAAGTGCAGGCCAATCACAGTAAAAATCAAAACTGACCTCACCACTAACTTCTGAACAATTCCCATGAAGTTACACACAATGAAGCAACCGTTGGGGTCAACAAAATATTTACCGCATCAGAGAATGGGCCGCTGTATTCTTCGGCTATCTCAACGCTTTCAAAACCAGGCAGCAAGAGTGGAATTTTCTTTTTGGCTTGGCTTAACACAGATCTGCTCAATAAAGAAGAATTTTAAACTTATGGGGCGGGGGGGAGGTACACAACAAGACCAGCAGATATCCCAGCTTGCACAGAAAGCAGAATATAAATGGTAAACAGAACAATACCAATTCATTTGTACGCAACCTGAGATCTCTTCCTTTAAAAAGATATAAATATAAAAAAATATGTATCTTACTTTAACTCTTCAGGATATGTTAATGACGTAGTCTTAGCAAATGTTGTGTTCCAGAAATGGGCACATTGGTTGCGGATCTGTTTGCTCTTATGCTGAAATACTACACAGAGCAACGGAGAAAGCTGCTCTAGCAGTTCACTGTCGTAAGAGCCAGTGCAGTGAGACTGTAAACACAGGATAATCTCGGCCAGCAGTTTTTCAAGCTGAGGGAGAGAAGAAACAACAGGGTTTATTTAATTCAAATATTGTACATATTCACTATTTAAAAGTTTAAAACATTATTTAAAACATTATTATCCCATAGAATAGTATGGCCTGAATAAACAGGTTTAAAAGCCACACCACACAAAAAAACCTAATAGCTAAGCTTAGTGGTCCTCCCCTCAGCTACCTTTTTAGTGAAAAATAAATAGTTTAAAAATTAAATCTCTACCTTCATTACATTTTAATTTTTTTTTTTAGAATACAGGATGAATGGCAAAATTTTAGTGTCACACATTTTCCCAAACCCCAGCTATTTCTCTAGCAAGTTTACCTTGTTGTTAAGATTACTGTATACTTTAGATACATCAGCAAGCCTGCCAAAACAAACAAAAAAGTTATATTTTGCTGTCTCATTTACCCCAAGCATAAGAATTAAACACATAATGCACTGAAGCACTGCACGCTAGTTTTACTACACAGCTTGATGAAATAACATTGTGAAACAAGCCTTCCATTGGGCGATTAAAAAATTTCCTGATGTAAATAGTTTAAAGTAAGCCTGTCCTTTAACCCTCACTGATACTTCTATGCTAACTTTAAGAAACTACTGGAAAGATCAGTGGTAAATAGTACAAACTTAAAATTAAAGGTTTTCTTATGAAGTAACTTCTAACTGCCTTCTTTGCGTTGCTCTTAACCCTCTCCCCAAACAGATTTCCCAGGCCCCATAAATATCTGGATTAAAAAGCTGAAGTACCACCTAAACTACGTAATTTCATGTAAATAAATCCCTAGGCACACCATCCTGAAAAATGCAAGAAAAACTGTACTTAGTAATTCATTTTATAAGCCTGTGACCTCCAACCTGACAAGGTTCCCAGACTTATATTTGCTTGCATATGCCTTCCTTCAAAAATATAACACTCACTTCTCCCTTTTAATGAATAATTCTAAGAAAGACAATGCTCAAACAAAGGCAGATGAGATGGGAGATGGAGAGAGGTGGTGTTCAACTCAACCTTACGCAGGAACAAGTGGATTCTTGCCTCCGAGACGGGGACTCCTGATGAATTTTAGATTAGTGGTAGCAGCCCTACTTCAAGTTTCAGTAAAAGCTTCAAGAAAACATTTACGGGCTGACTGGCAGCATCCTATCCTATCCTCCCTCCTCCTCCTCCCTCCTCCTCCAAAGCTGTACTCCATTTTTCTTTATCCTGAGCAAAGTGTACATCTCTTGCATCATCAACAAATCAGAGGCAAGCTTCTGCCAGCCCCCTCCCACCAAGCCCCTAATAATTCCATCATGTCCTGGGAAGAGAAGCCTACAACAATTAAAAAATAAAAAAGCAAAGCCATATTAAAAAAAGCGCATAGCAGCAAACAAATATTTCTCAGTACTCCCCTCTGCTTAAAAACTTACAGGATTTTAGTACACTTCAACTTACTATGATTTCTTTTTCCTACAAAAATGTATGCAGTTCCTGCCCACTAGAAAACAAATTACTGTCAATAGATATCTTCACTGCAGTGAAAATAAACAGCAGGTGGAAACCAAACACTTTAGTCTTGCAGAGATGACAATACATTCACTCTAAAAAGACAACAGTTTTAAATACCAAGCTTTCAGAAGTCCTGTAGGTTTCCTATCATGTATGACTACATAGGTTTGCTTTCATTTCTAAAGAAAAGCATTACAATGGAGACTGCTACTCATGTGTGGTTTTTTGACTCCCTCTGAAAGGCACTGGAGAGCAGGGCTGCACGGCGGGTGCCACAGTGGCACACCTGCGATGTGCCGGTCAGGCCGTTGCGGGCAGCCACCTTAGCCCAGGGACACCACACGTCACTCCCAGCACCCCAGCTCATATGCAGCAATTACAGAAAACGGCAAGTTCTCGGCGACTACCTTACACAGCCATTCCTTCGGCAGTGTTGGGGGCACTGCAGAACTAGTACCTACTAGGCTGAATCTAGCATGGTGCTCTCAAAGAGAGAGACTTGGCAGAAGTTGAAAATCCCTAGCATATTAGTGCCAAAGCTTTGAAAAACCCTGAGCTATATTTAAATACATTGCTTGCTATAGACCACACAAAATTTCACCAATATGCAGCAATACAATGAATCCAGTTTTCCAACCATTCTTAAAATACTCACTTTGTTTTTTCATAAAACACTGCCAGGGGTTTTGAAAAAATTGCAAACATGGTCCCAATCACTGAAGGCAATGAAACGTGGCTGATGATGTTGTGAAGAATAGCAATAATTGAAGGACCAACAGAGACCAATGTTTCTGAACAGATTTCTTTGGAACTGAAAACATGGAAAGAGTTTAGTAACATCACCAGGAGTTTAAATAGAGAGGCAAGCTTTCCAAGGGGTTCCTTTTTCTTCTTAGACCAATCGGTAGGTGTCTGTGGAGCTAACATTAAAAAAAAAAAAAAAAAATTAATTTTTTCCTATCTAACCAACATACGTTAACACAAAACACATCTGAACTTTTTGTCCACATGAGAAACAGAACTTTGATTCCCAAACTGTATCTACATACAAATAGTTTAAAACCAGACCTAACGGAGGATGTACATTTTTAATGCATAATTTTATGCATTAAGAACATACCACTACAGATAGGATTCCTATTCCTCTTATTTATATTTATGATTGGTCACAAAAATGACTATGCTTTTAAATATCTTTAATGCCTACGTGCAAAAGGACAGCAACCACTCTAGCGATACTAGCTGATATGCATAAATTCTGGAACAGGTGAGGAGGAGGGAAGGGGAAGTATCAAGTTTTATTAGTTCGTTTATTTATTTGTAAGTGAAGTTTCCATCATGTTTTTCCTCATCAACATTTCCAATTAAAGCATTTCATTCTTTCAGCAGTCCCAACACAATGTCTTACTACTTTAACAAATTCATATGGGGCAGAGAAATTATAAAAAACGTCATTCTGTAAATCATTTCTTCAGCTTTAATAGTTGTAAATGGGAGTAGGAAACAGAACGAAGAACATTTTACATACAGTGACCTTTTGTATGTTAAACCTATTCTTGACTATTTTATGCAAAGCAGCTTCAGGAGCAGTAGCCTTTCAAATTTTATGTTAACAGTTTATCTTCAGTTTTAGGCAGGTATTATATAATTAGACTGTGGATTACGATCAAGCATTACTGCTTCAGATTACGTCTGAACAAAGCAAAAGCAGCAGATTTCACATGCAAAAATGAAATCATAGCCAAAATACCAAAGACAACTTCAGAAACAAGCAGTGTTTTACAGTGAACTGAAAAGTAAAGTGGCTTCGACGTTTACATCACTTTCAGATGTATTTTGTCAGGCTATGCAGTAGCTGCTCAACAAACAGAAAAGATCTGATACTCAAATATGCATATTGGATGATATTTGTAGATCCTTTTTATGATTTTTTTTTTGTCAATCCCTTCAGTGCTTAGATGTCATCACTTCTGCATCTACAACAACTCTAATTTCAACCAACTCTAGAGGAAAGACACAGAAAACCCCAATATTCAAGTATTTTCTTACATCTGTTTTTTGGCTGATATTTAGTACCGTATGGTGCAAAGTTGATGCAGTCAACCATAACTGATATAATATGGGTGAGACCATCCATCATTGAAAACATCTGAGGAGGAAACAGAAGTCATCAGCAAAGCCCAAAAGAGCAACAGTGGCAGAAAAAAAATGTGTTGACCATTCAGGACAGCAATACAAAGAGCTTTTAAATTTAAAAGTGGATGGAATTTGACTGCATTACCAGGTAAGACTCAGCTAAGATTACATTTTAAAATACACACATTTACACAAGCTGAAGTTTTCCCATTCTATACAAATAACACATAAGCATATATACAATCTAAAGAAGCAAAACAGTAATGGGCAGCTGTAAGAAGGTGTTAGATTTAAAGAGATGCACCACAAGTATTAAGGTTCAAGGTACTAGCTGTCTAGCAAAACATGTTACCAAATGTCACTGCGTGCTTAGGTTCAGTTACTGTACAAAGCCTGATTTTCAGAAAAGTCACTGTAGGCATAACAATAAGGTTGTCATTAACATTCAGGAAGCACGATTGATTTCTAGAACATACAAAAAGATGGGTCAAGCTTCGTTTGTTTTTTCCTAATTCATCACAAATTCTTCCAAATGAAAAAAAAAACCTCAAACTTGCTTTTAAAAGGAACATTGATACTGTGGGCCAAAAAACCAGTTTAGTTTCAATATAACTTACATACTGAAGCTCTAAATTGTTTAAGTTTGGCTTGCTTAATAATTATTAATTTTTGAAAATTGAAGTTTATCATCCAAAGGAAGTTATAATGATGTAATCCTCCAAATTCCATTTTTTCAAATTCCATTCTTCTTTCTCATCTGTTTCTTATCTATTCCTTTCATGGTATTTTTTCAAAAGACAGTCAACTTTGAAGCATGAAGGATTTTATGTTCCAAAGCTAATGTTCACTGACATCTACAGACACTCTATCTCCCCCTATGATGTGCGCTTGCAAACAGGCAAGACAGATAACGTAAAGGCTTCCTCTTTCAAAACCTCTCCTTTTATAAAACTTTGAAGTAGAAAGTCTTTAAATTTTAGTGTACAAGGTTGACGGTACCAGGAATATAGCAAGTTATGCCCTCCGAATGCTACAGTGCTACTCTATCCTCCTTCCTAATCAAAATGCCTGGTTTTGTGGTATTTGTTAATTCAACCTGAAGTTACTTTATATATACACACATTTCAACAGGACAAATCATATTTACCGTTTATTTTCACTAAATCAGTATTACTTAAATAGTTAGAAGACAAATCTGAGGACTGCTTAACTGCTATTTTATATGTAAGCTTTATAATTATTTTTACTTTCTTCTTTCAATCCATTTCTAGATTAACTCCAACTCCTGTTAGTAAAAAGAATTTTGTTACAGCTTTATCCAAGTCTCACCCAAAACACTTTAAGAAAGCACTGCATTAGAGTTTACAATAGGTTCTTATATCTAATTTAAAATATAGCTGCTAAAGTATTTATATAGTTCAATATCACTGGTTTATACTCACTACTGGAGTTTCACCTTCTAGCCCAGATATTATTTTGGCACAAAGTTCTTCACAGCATAGGTTTTCTTCTGCTGTTGCAACTAAAGCAGCACAGCGAGCAAATGCTCTATACAGGTCTGACCAAGTGCGCAACAAGGATTTCATAGTTGGCTTTAACAACAGAAAGAAAAAGTTTATAAATATCAATGTCTGTGCATAGAGATAAAAACTTGCTTTAAGTTTTCTTCTTCTCTCAAAACCTATGTAACTCAAGAATTCCAACCCTGGAGCAGGGGTCCACTGTATATACATAGTGGTAACTAACTCTGCTCTGAGATTATCAGATAGTACTTTATAGTTTTTATAAAACCCACATTGTTTCTAATCAACATTATGCATTCACTGTTACCTGTGGAAATTCCTGAATGGGGAAGATGTGTGATACTGGTAGCAACAACGCACTATAAACAGCATTGAAGTTGTGTTCCAGTGCATCACCCTGATTCACTTCATTAGTCTGCAATGAGAAAACACTTTTCTGGTTAAGGAAGCTGCAAAATTTAGATGACAAATACGGCTGTTCTAAATACATTTATTTTGGACATAAAAATCTGTGCAAGCTGAATTGCCAGTGGCATTTTGAAATTAGCTATTCTCAGGTCTTTCAAGAGTTCAGGCTGATCCTAGTATTTAGAGAGATAAAAAGCACTGTTTCTTAATTCCAAAATAACTTAATTCCAAGAATAAAGGCAATCAGTTAGAAAATGTCTTATGTATTTTTTACTTATTTCAGTTGCAGTAAGTGATGACAGCAACCTACTTAAAGCAAACTAAAACTTTCTTCATACATTCTAAGATTTTCAGGTATAATGAGGATTAGTTCAACAACTCCTACGTCACAGTCAATGTACTTCTAGTAAGTAATCTGCAGAACTTGCTGAATGATACAGTTTATATGGCTTTCACTAGGGCTTCCAATCAAGAAGTCTTAACATTAGTAAGAAACACTAATTACGTCCTAAACATCAGAACTCAGTAGTTACTGTATTTTCACATAAAGCAAACAAGCCTCGTAGTGTGTAAAAGTTAAGAACTGAGGGGCAAGTTTCCATCCTTTGTAGCAGCAAGACTATAGATGTGCTTCAAGCCCTCACTCCTCAGCATAAACATGTTTATAATCTCCCTTAAAAAGGGAGAAAAAACATTCCCAACACTATACTGGACCCTGTACTTAAGAATGATCATTCTTATTGACTGGAATCCCTTTAAACCACATTTTGGATCACTACTCCACTACTGCCCTTCATCCTACCTCGCTGCAAGTGTTCATACTCCATTTAAAAAATGCTGCACACATTCCAGTTTCAGAAATACTACGAAGGCTTATGTGATTTTACCATCACTTCAAGACACGTAACTCCTAAAAATTCATCAAGATAAAAGATCAGCACAAAGTTTTCCTGTGGTTTTTCTTGGGAGGCAGGAATGGGGAAGAGAATGCAAAAGCCACTATACCTGATTAATCCATTTGGTTAGCGGATTAACAACAATGCTCCACATTCTCCAAAGGTGCTCCTTATTTTCCACTTGCTTTGCACTCTGATTAATTACGCAGATCACAGATTCACTGAAAGCCAGCGGAGATGTAGGCCCAGATAAAACATAACTCACGAGCATTTCTAGAATTACAAAGAATCTAGGGAAGAAAGTTAAATAGCTAAGATACTTTTTTCAGCTGAAGTTAGGAAAAACTTCTATAAAGTCTTAAACTGTGGGAAGCTTGTTACAAACAAACACCACCACATACCTCTCATCTGTTACACAGCATTCCAAGAGGTTATTATGGAAAGGCAGCTGAATTAAGAACAAAGCTGGTGTTCCCTTTTAAGAGAAATTTAAGAGGTCAGAACAACATATACACTGATCAAATGAAATCGTTGCCTCACTTACATGTGTACATACTACACTATATACTATATTTAACTCTAAACCAGAAATTTGAAATTATTAGAAGTTGTCAAAAATTGTCAATTCTAACACTTCAAAATAAAAATGAGAGGCAAAGCTGGAAACCTAAGCTTCTGCTAGATCCTGGTGCTTCAGCAGAATACCAATTATACTATAGTTGAAGCAAAAAACTTTTCTGTTTAAAAGGCTGCGAGTTTTATAGTACTTAATCATTACTGCCTTCAAATTACATGCAACAAATTAAGGTAGGTATACATAACACAGTCAATGCATATTACGATACCTGGAACAAGATGGAGCAACCTGAGATTTGCTTACTTCAAAGTTTCAGCACGACATCTTTTGCACAGCCTCTGTTAAAATCTATCATGAGCATTTCAGGTTTGCTAATGTTAAAGCATTTAACAAAATGCATTTAATACCTGCCAATTAAAGCTTCAACCACCTTAATAAAGTTCTGATTCTTGTACCTAAGTCAGAAAAAGCCACCAAATGTAAACAAACCCAGGAAAAAAGCTGGGAGGAATTTTGAAAAAGTTGAGCTCTTAAGCCAATTCTGGTAGACAAAGTTTTATACTACTCACTTGAGTTGAAGCATTCGCTTACTCTGCTACACTCAGGTCTTCTCTCACAGGTATTGAGGACAAGAGGAAATGGCCCCAAGTTGCGCCAGGGGAGGTTTAGATTGGACATTAGGAAAAATTTCTTTACTGAAAGAGTGGTCAGGCCTTGGAACAGGCTGCCCAGGGAAGTGGTGGAGTCACCATCCCTGGGGGTATTTAAAAGACGTGTAGATGAGGCGCTTAGGGACATGGTTTAGTGGGCATGGTGGGGTTGGGTTGACGGTTGGACTCGATGATCTCAGAGGTCTTTTCCAACCTTAATGATTCTATGATTTGTCTGCTTTTAAAAGCCTCCAAATGAATTCTATGCACTCCCTGGCTTACAATGTAAACATTTAGCTACTTTCATAGGCTAGAAAGCTCTGTCTCCACTGCTGCAAAATAAACAAGTTGCCCCCTATCTACTGGTGGATGTAGGAGAATTTTAAGTCTCCAAATCATCATCGAATTTTAAGTCTCCAAACAACCTTTTAAATTTTTAATAAACCTAACTGGTAGCATGCTCCTACTCAGTCTGCTCAACCCCAACCACCACACACACACACACACACGTGTCATTTCAGCCTTTTCTCACAGGTTATTTTTCGAGGTTATTTTCTAGATTGCCATCACCTATTTCTCCCTTCCAATGCAGTACACAGAACACAGTACAGTACTACAGTTAGGGCTCATTAGGACCAAAGCAGAAGAGAGTAGTTCTCACCACTAATGAATACCACCACTTTTTCCTGCAGTAAAGTATGGCCAGTAAGTTCAGACTTTAGTTCACTGTGACTTCTGAACTTTTTCTGAAATAACGCTGACTAGCATGATATTCTCTGCTTTGCTTTTGTGCATTTACAAGGGCATGTAGTTTTAGGACATGGGGTAATGGCTTTAAACTGACAAAGGGTAGATTTAGATTAGATATTGAGAGTGGTGAGGCACTGGAACAGGTTGCCCAGAGAAGCTGTGGATGTTCCATCCCTGGAAGTGTTCAAGGCCAGGTTGGATGGGGCTTTGAGCAAGCTGATCTAGTGGAAGGTGTCCCTGCCCATGGCAGGGGGTTGGAACTATATGATCTTTAAGGTCCCTTCCAACCCAAACCACTCTATGATTCTATGATTTAATTTTTCCTGAGGAATAACACTTTCTACCTTTCTTTAAAGTAGTTCTTTCATTCTATTGACTTCAGAACATTTCCCCAAAACATCAGTTTTCAGTATATAAGTAGTCCTACACAGTTTGACTATGCAGTCTCCTCGCAAAGTATCTGCAACCTGTATTTTAAATCATGACCTGAACATGAGAAATCCTCTTTCACTAATACTTTCAGCATATCCCTTTTTAGCTATAGATGGTTAAATTACTCATCAGAAGTGAGGGCTGGAAACAAAGTCTGCATTCTGGAACACGGAATAATACAGTTTACTGAAAGATCTGGATCTAATGACTTACGAAGTGCTCTGTACGTTTGTGCAAATATGACATCCTAATACATTTCAGCATAAAGACAAAATTCTGGAATGAAATCAGACTTACATTTAAAAGATCCATATCAGCAACCTGATAAGCTGGTGATCCCAATACTTTTGGAGGCAATTCCTTAACAGTAATATCAATGAGGGACTAATTAGGGAAAAAGAAGAAAACGTATGTAAATATTTTTTTCCTGAGGGCTTGGATATTTTAAGTAACACCACAAATAAAAGCAAAATTTTAACAATTGCTTTCCCTTAGTAAAAAGAAAAAAAAAAAAAAACCATCGTGAAAGTAACTGTCCTTTGAAGCAGAAGGTTCTGGTAGGAGAACCATGTACCAATTCTGTGAACAATACCGATAAATCCAAAAAACACTTTTAAAGAAAGAAACCCTTAAGCAACACTATGCCATCTGATGAGAATGGCGTAACTTACAGCTTAACCAAAAATGTTGTCTCTTCTAAAGAGACCATTCTCATAAGTTAGATGCAAAAGGCTGCAAAAGGCTGCTACCAATCAGAATCTAGACCATCCAAAAGCTATGAGATTTGAAAAACAGACAAACCCACCCAACTTACCAGTAGTTTCTGCACAGGAAGAGAATTTGATCTAACAGTGTTTTTTAAGGCCTGGAGCAACATAGTCAGTATTTCCGACCCTTGCTTTTCTTTCTTATTTCCTAGAATAAAGCATATTTATAGTTGGAGCAGAACAAAGTAATGGTCACTCTGACTATCACTTAAAACTTAAATATTATGTACTGTAAGATCAAAAAAAATTGTGTGTATAGTTATAAACATATACCAAATACTTAATAGATTCAGATACCAAGTCTCTGCTCTGAAGAGCAGCGTAACGAGAACTGAAAAGTTTAAATTAAGAAATCCTAAGTTTTAGTAGTAAAATGGAAACACCTTCGTATCATTTGACACACTAAAAAAAGTTGTGAAATTTTGCATTCAATCAAGCAATGCACTTCATTTCTCTTATGCTTTTCAGTTAGATCTTTCAATATAAAAGACTTCATTATTAAGAACATTCTGGACTTTCAAAGCCTTTACAGACTAATGAATGCTTTTTTAAAATAGGAAACAACTTACTTCTATGTATCTGTAAAGACACTATACTTTACTATGAAACAAAAGTTAATTAAAGAAAAAAAGACAGCCATAGTCACATAACAAAGACTTTACACTAATTTGAGTAATACACTGAATGTCTCAATTTTTCAATACCAAAGACTTGGGGTGGGGTCATTTTTTTTTTTTGGAAATGGAAAGATTTCTTCAGCAAAAAAAGCAGCCAAAGTGCTTATGTCTTACTGCTACATGCAATACACGGGCAGTCATATGCTGCTGTGCCTTCCCTAATAAGCCTCACTGGATCAGATCCGTATGATTTTGTATTTGTCACACAAAGATGTAGGCATCGTGAAAAATATCAGCTGTTGCTTCAAAAACAGCTACTGACGATGCCTAAAACCAAGTTTTACCAGCAATGAAGCCAATGCTACTTAAGGTCTAGTGTTAAAAGAAAAAAGAAAACCTGTACCTGGTCAGCAACAACAAATAAAAAAAACCACCACCAGCACTTTTTACCTGATTCAATAGCTGTTTTTACATATCCATTTATGTCCTTCCATATAATATTCAGCATACAATCTGCAAAATAGCGTAATATTTTTATTCAGTTTGTTATAAAAACATTAAACAAAATTGCAGTTAAAATACAAACCATGTTAAACAACAGACTTTGATGTAAGCCAAAACTGACATAAGCTTTCAAACCAAGTCAGACCAGTTCTATTTAATGTCAACACTGGAGTATTACAGAAAGTGGTTATTTTTAGTTTGGTTTCCCTCCCCCACTTTATTTTCCAGAAAAGAAATCAAATTTCACCACTAAATTCTTACCAGGAACTTCTTTTCCGATTGCAATAAAGCCATCCTGAACTGCGTTTATAAGCGTGCTGGCATGCTTACAAAAAAAAGAAGGGCTACTGATCAGTGGGTACTGGAGAGGCTCTAGGAGAACAAAAAGAAGTGTTCTGTAAATCCGTTATTTTGCAGTCCACTGTAAGATAAGCCTTAAAAATAATCAAATATATACGCGTACTTACAGCATTTAACATAAAAACAACTTCTAATACTAAAGATTGCAACTAACAGTTTTAAATGTTTAGAGCATTTCATGCTTTAAACATCTTTAAATCCAACAAAATTAGCAATTTCAGATTATGCGAAAGTACTTAAAAAAAAAAAAAAACTCACGTACCTAAACTAAGTACAAGTTTGTTTTGCTTAGCAAAATCTAGGACTTCTGGTCCCATCAAGAAGTGAAGCAGCATTTCAATTCCCAAAAGCTGAATGGAAGGAATCACCACCACTCCTGCTGTACTAGAATTCAAGTGCATCCTTGGTGTTACTGGACTTGCAAACGGGTAAGGACCTAAGTGAGGGGAGAAAAATTACATTATCTCATATTTCACCTGCAATCAAGTGAAAGGAAAGATCCAATAGACCAAAATCCCAAAGTTAACATGAAAAGAACAAATAGAATAGCGTTGGCTAAAAGGCACCTCTAACAGCCAGACAGGTATCTAGCACGCATTCCTATTAAGTAGGGTTTAACATCACAGTCACAACCGTGTATTTTGAAAGTATAAATATCTTCCAGAAATTGCAGAGTCGTAGACACCAAACTTCATTTTGGCAACAAAAGTCTTCATGGAAGTTGTGGTTATAGATCAAGCTACACGCTACACTATATACTAGCTACACAGTAACTCTGCTGCTATGAAAGAGTTTCCATTAGAAACTTTTACACTGAACACGAGTTTAAGAGGTCTCATGTGCAAAGCATTTGACCTACCTCAGTTATGATCTCACAGAACGAAGATGAACTTTTTTTTTAAAAAAGGGAACAAAGAAGATCTACACATCTAGGACACTTCCACTACATATCTAAGGCTTCTAATTATGGCAGACTAGAACTACACATGCTGTGAACGCTAGGCTTTCCATACAGAGAAGAGAAAAAGGCAGTTCCTTATCTCAGGCATTCAGATGTAAATCTCAAGTAGGTATGGTTTCACATGTCTTTAAAGTACCAAAATTATTGTTGTATTATGATCACTGGGTTACTATTCAGGCAGAAACTAAAAATGGTATGAAAATGAAAATGGCATATACAAATAGCACATATATGAATACATGAAAAAGTAAGTTTCAAACCAAAGCTACCTTGTGAAAGAAAAACAATTCAGGACATTAAAACTGATCCTCAACACAATTTCATTAGCACAATTTTGTAAACTTGAAATACTGACTACAACAGTCTAATTTTAACCAGCATAAATCGCTACCTCTGAGCTCTCCAACAAACATGCAGAAAAATTACTGTTTTCAATAATAATACATGGCAAATGAAAACACATAAAGATGTTCAATAGAACAGATTACTTTCTACATCTAGAATATAGTTGGAAACAGGCTTGTACTTTAATACCTGATTTCTGTACAGGGGTTGCCGAGGCTAAACTTTGGTTGGCTCCTACACGTGAGGGAGTTCCTTGCAATGCAGCAGAAGAATCTAGACTTAAAGTACTTTGTATTAATGGTACACAAACCTGCAAAGATATCAAACCTCAGTGAAAATACGTAGGACACATGGAAGCCACAAAGAACCATACGTTTCAAATATCACATAGACTGTATTATTGTTCACAGCATCAGTGTTTCAGAGTTTCTGGGTGCTTATAACAGTACTTTTAAGATGCTGTATAAAATATGCATTCTGATACATGAATTAGAAATGGCGAGATTAAACAAAAACTCATGTTAGAATGATCCAGCTGTACCATATCTAAAAAGGTAGATTTTTTTTCTTTACTCCATTCCCAAAGTTTAATTTAATGAAATTCAGAAGCCTAATAGAAACATTATGTTCATTCCAGTTATAATGTCAGTAGTAATGAAACACCTGGATCATTTTTCTCTCTGTGCATCTTTAAATATCTTGTGATGCTTTCAGCATGTTTTCCTATGGCAGACTTTCCAAAGCATATACTTGCACAGTGGAAGGACAAAGCAGTCCTTCTAAAACGTGCTTCTGTTTACTATCGCTGTGAGCTCACTGGAGATTTTCACTAAGATGCTCATATGGCATGCAGATATGCTCTCAAATCTTTTGGAACTTTAAAAAGATTGCACGTATAGTCCCAAGTGCTCCTGCTATATATAAACACACAAATACACAAGTCAGATTTGGTTCCTTAAGACAGTTTCATTTTAATAATAAACTGGAGAAGGACAAAGAAGGTACAGAGTAAGTTACAGTAACAAAGAGGAGACTTAGCCTATGTTGAGTGTACGAAGCTAAGTGATTATGCTATGACTATTTTCAGTTGTGTTACCTGTTCAAAGTTTGCAGGCAGCTGAGGTCCCAGCCTCATGAGTAAATACCACCAGACCTCCAGTTTTGTCAGTGCCAAAGCCTCTGTTCTCACATGGATCGAGCTCAGTGGCTGCATTAGCAGTTTCAGCCTTTTAGCACTGCATAATATATCTTGAAGACCAAAAAAGCATATTTTAAGCAACAATTAAATCACAGGAAAAAAAAGGAAAATTTTTAAACCAATAAGTATTTTCCTAATATATTTTAGCTTAAAATTCAATTAATGACAATTTGCAAAACTAAAATACATAGTAAACGCACCAACCTTTCAGACTATTTTACTGCTCTAATTGTTGTCTATAACAACCCTGGAAATAGCAAGTATGTATTTCCAATACCAAGATTGAAATGAAATCTACTGAATACCAACATAAACAGAAGGAAATTCATTCTTGCTTGCTATGTTAGAGTCCTATCTGCCAGGGTAGAAGAAAACCCAAACACTTAACATATACGTGCATTACCACTGGATGAGAATTAATGATCTTAAATACAGTATTCTGAGGCCACAAATGATCATTTACCACTGAAGTAGAAGTAGCATAGCATGTCTGGACAGAAGTTTGCTCAAGCCTAAGCAAGTGTTCAAAGAAGAGAAAAACTTTTAGCCAGCTCAGCAGCATCAGAACCTGCCCACCTGCCATTCATAAGAAACTGCTGACAGAGACTGCTTTTGCAGTTTGCAATCCTTATTAGCCACACTGGACACGCACAATGAACACCAGTTGTGCCATGGATTTTATCTTCTGATAGAATCAAATCCTTTGTTAATTAATTTATGGGAAACAATGATCAGAACAAATAACCAGATAGGAAACAAACTAAAATGACAACTTGAGTTAAATTCAGCCAAACTAAGAAATGTCCACATTTAGCTTTCTCTTCAGGACACACAATAAGGAGAAGCACAATCAAGGTAAAAAATAAATATTGTGCATTTTGACACAGGCTAGACTTAAACGACTTGTTCAGGTCTCAGTTATACCTTTAAAGCAACTTTTTTTAACACCTCTAGAATCCTGAAGCATTGCTCTTCCCCAATTAATCCATACAATCCAAAAAAAGATCTACGAATGTTTTATTCTCTATTTCATTGCTGTCTGGATCAATTAAAGCATTACAAACCAAAGGCTGTTAATTTTGTTCTATCCATTTCTCCTAGCAGAAAAATTAAGATAGAACTACTGATCAAACTGTCACTTTTCCTTAAAAAACAAAACAAATTTTAATTTTACATATGTATATACACACAGTATATACCACTATGTATATACCACAGATATACTATGTGTATATCCAGTGGTATGTACCATAGTATTGACCACTATTAGACAGAATATTCTCGTCCAGTTATGTAAAGTGACAGTAGTCAAAACAATTCAGGTTAACTTTTTTTAATCTACCTGGATTTAGAGCAAAATTATCTATTAGACTCTTCCATGCAATGAAGGCTATTTTCTTTACCACTGGTGAGCCACTACGAAATCCAAGTTCCTCCAGTTGCAGCAATGAGTTGATAAAACTGCCACTACGATGCAGAGTCTGAAGATAAAGAAGTTCAGAATTAAGATATTTATGCTGTCAAAAATTCCTTCCCTAAAGATTCATCATTGTAAAGCTTACTGCTTTTCTGCTTACCTTTCCAAGTAACTTGACAAACAGTGGCCATAATTTTAACACATAAGTCTCATTTTTTGTAGAAAACAATTTCTGAAGTTCTGAAATTAATTTCTGCAGATAGAAAGAAACATAATTTCTACAAGAAATATGTTCAAAGTATTCTAAAAACTACATACTCATACCAATGTCTCATACCAGTTTGGAGACACAACCAAACTGGAACTATGCTACTTCTACATCAGAAGTATTTAATTCTGTACCACGTCGCATTTGCTGGTAAATGAGTCGAACATTGCTACCATCTGATTACCTTCTTAGTTGAAGTTTATAGTTGGTTTCAATTATTCTGATAGTGGCAAGCAACAAATCAAAATCAATTTCCTTAAATACTTGCAGTCTAACTCTCAAGTCAAAACACACTGTGACCCTAAAACCCACCTTGTTAGTTTGGGTTTTTTTGTAAACACACGTAACTTCAGCAGTGAATAAGGCAAAATAAATAAGCCTACAGTGAAGTGAAGGGGAACACGAAAAGTTTCATCAAAAAGCCCAAGGGGGCTGTTGCTGAATAGAGTGGGAAATCTTTTAATGGACATGGAAAATGCTGAGGTACTCAATGCCTTTCTTGCCTCCATCTTTACTCTCAGGCCTCCAACGTCTGTCTCCCATTACCTTTGTTGCTGGGCACACCGGTACTATCCATGGTAGAGAAGAACTGAGTTGGGAACTACTTAAGTAAACTTGACATACACAAATCCATCACATTCTACAGGGTGTATCCAAAGATGCTGAAGGAGAAGGCCAATGACACAGCGAGGCTATTATTTCTTGAGAGGTCACTGCAATTGCTAGAGATCCCCAGTGATGGGGTAGGGCAAGACAAATTTTAAGCCAACTTCAAAAAAAAAAAAAACCCACCCACAAAAAAAAACCACCCACAAGTGAGAGGATCTGGGGAATTACAAGCCAGCCAATCTCACTCCCGTGCATGGAAACGTTACAGAGCAAATTCCCGTGGAAGAACAAGAAGGTCCTTACGAACAGCCAGCATAGTTTTACCATGGGCAAAACCTGCTTTTCCAATCTGACTGACTTCTATGAGGAAATGCCTGGTTTTGCAGATGCAGGGAGTACAGCAGATGTTCTCACTCCAACTTTAGCAAGGTTTTTGACACAATCTCCTCTAGTGTCCTTGTAGCCTAACTGGTGAGATACAAACTAGTTAGATTACGAGGTGTGTGGCTGGACTGTCGGCTCAAAGGTTGGTGGCTAGCAGTTCAGAGCCCAGGTTACCTGTGAGATTTACGAAGGGTCGACAAGGGCTGATACAATTTAACACAATCGATCGGGGCGGGGAGGGGAGCATCGGTTGATATGCTGGGAGGACAGGGCTACCATTCACAGGGATCTTTACAGGCTTGAAAAATGGACTGACAGAAACCTCACAGAATTCAAAGGCAAAGTCCTATACCTGGGATAAATGAACCCCATGTACTGGTACCTGCTGAGGATTCACGGGCTATGTAACACCTCTGCAGAAAAAGAGGCAGGGGACAAGAATTTTAATGTTAAGTCAGGAATGTGCTCCTGCATACCAGACTGCGCTAGCAAAAGCAAAAGAAACAAGTCAAAGAGAACCAACCCCTCTACTTGGTACTCATCACATCATCTCTGGAATACTGTACCAAACTTTGCGCCCCGAAGTACCAGAGCTACTGACAGACTGAAGTGAATCCAGCAGAGGGTCACCACTAAGATGGTTAGGGAACAGAGTTCATGACAGAAGAGCTAGGCTTGTTTAGCTTGGGGTGGGAGGGAATATAATTGCAGTCTTCCAGTACTTATAGCTGGATTATAAGCAAGAAGCAGACGTTTCAAAGAAGTACTGAAAGAAAGGACTGGAGGCAACAGACACGAGTTTCAACAAGGCAAATCCTATTTTTACCATGCGGGTGGTTAAGCACAGGAACAAGCTGCCCAGACAGGCTGTAGAATTTCCATCCTTTAATATATTCAAACCTCAATGGGACAAGGCCCTGCACAATCTGGCCTGAGCTTTGAAGCTGTTTTGAGTAGGAAGCTAAGCTAGATGATGTGAGTTACTGCCACATCAAGTTCTGCTGATTCTAGTTCGGTAAACAAATTCTCTTTAGGAGACAATAAAAGTTTAATGATATTTATGAGTTAATGCTATCAAGAAAGGTGCTTAAAGGTCATTTAAAAACATCAAGTTATTTTCCTGATCAATGATTCCTGTCAGAAACTTAATTTTTTTTTTTTTTTTACAGTGGTGCTATATTTACATTGCTGTTACATCAATTTTTCTGTCGAAACTGCTGTCATCAAGTTGTTGCTGTCAACACACAGTAGCTTTTTGCTGCCACTATCTAGACTGTAAATAAAATTAAGAAAACCCCCAATGAACCAACCACCCCGATTACTATTCCTGTCCTCTCTAGAAAAAAGGCATAGCATTTCCACTTACTGTGGTCATTAGGTGCTCAGTGATAGCCGCTACCTCCTGCTGTTTCTGGAGGAGCAGCGGCATGCCCATCTCCAGAGCAGCGGCACCTCGTAACTGCACCTTATGAGCGGAATGGACGACCAGAGGAATGATCAGTTTTGCCCACCTCACAGCCTCTTCTCCCATCTGGGCTGGAGTTTGCTCCATTAAGCTAGATCCAAAAAACAAATACAAGTATTACAAATCTCCAACAGACACTCAAAGATAATCTTAGTATCATCAATAAATGCTCTAATTCAACACATGATTTACAGGAAACCATTCTAAACAATTTAATTTTTTAATTTTTTCTAAACAATTGTCTTTTAACAGTTCACTTAGAAGTGCAATGCTGAAGTGTTACTTCAGATAAACCTCTCCAAAAGCAGAACAGACTGACATTTACAGTTGTCCTTCCCATTCTATCACAACTTTTTGGGCAAACGAACTGAACTGAGAGCCTGAAAGGAACATACCATCACGTCATTATCAGTGGCCAAGTACAAAGTTTGCATATTAACCACCCCTTGTGTGTTCCTAGTAGTCCAGACCAGCCCCAACAGGCCATGTGGGCTGAAAACAATATACGCCTGCTTTTGAAAAACAACTCAAACCCTGAAGCAGTACAGGTTTGCACAGACTCAATGTACGTTAGCCCAGCCAAGCGTTCTTATCTTATCCCTCTATTACTGAGCTGTTAGAGCACAGTATGAGAAACAATTCCACATGTTTACACCATCCCACACAGAAGCCAACGAGACTTTC